CCTACAGTATTTTTACAGTCTTTATTTTACAGTTAAAATAAATGTTTATCAAATAAAGTCTAATGTTACAACTAATCGTGGATCCCTTTGAGACCAGTTGTCTTTGATTTGGGTAGTGTGGGGGGCTGGTAGTAACAAAATCACACTTCAAAATATAATAAAACTGCACTAAAACCACATAATGTAATAATGTTATTACATTATGTGGCTGTTAGTATTACAAAATGTGTTGAAGAGTTATTATATTTTGCATCAATTATAACATAATGTGGTTTTAGTGCAGTTTTATTACATTTGGTAGCTCGATTCTATTACATTATTGTGGCGTTATTACATAATGTGGTGTTACGAGGTGAGATGAGATGTACAGTGCAGCTGGAACAGGTGCTGCACTCACAGGAAGCACAGATGTACTGATAGAAATAACGCTGACTAATCAACTAATCAAATAATCGAGAACATTGACAAATTAATAGATTATCAAAACAATCATTATGTGCAGCCCTAGTGTGGATATAAAGCATTGACAACGTGGATACAAAGAGCCTGACCATGTCAGTTTGTTCTCTCACCTGTGCTATACGGTGGTGTTGGAGTTTGATGACTCTGGAAACAGCCATCTGCATGCTACCAAACACAGCCACGACCTCCAGGATCTTATCATCAAACGATGGAGCACAAAATATCTGCAACAGGATCAGTAGGAAATTTAGGAGTGGCACGGATAATTTCTCCATTGATTTCGTAGATTATATAGAGATTATACAATCCACATCCACCGAAAGCTAAGGACAGAGATGTCTGGTGAGCTTAGAAAGAAAAACACACGAGCATGTTCAAATTAAAGTCTGTAAGATTGATAAAGAGTGCAGACTGATGCTCCTGTGACAACACCAGAATTAGCCAAGGCTTCAGGAATATGTCCTTTGGACAGAGGAGAGGAAACTGGAGATATTTGGCAACAAGTTTCATCAGCTTTATGTTCACAACCCATTTATGAATTATACAAAAAACAAACACTGTACCTACAGTAGCCTGGTTCAAACCAGACCCTGTCCTTCACTTTGATTCATACGAGGGTCTGGACTTGATACATAGAGAAGTGTTTCTTGCAGGAGGCGTGGCCTCTGCTGAAGCATGTATGTCGCTGTGAAGGAGGCTAAGCTAAGAAGCTAACCGGAAATCGTGTGTGCTGTAAACAACCCTACTAAGAGGAGAAAAGTACCGAGACGACTAAATGAGAGCTGCTGCTTTGTCAGACTAATTTAATTTAATTTGAAGCCTTATCAACACAGACTGGCTTNCCGGTAGACGGCAGCCATTACAGACGAACATGTGTTTGTTGTTGCTCCAGGAGCGGCTCGGTCACACACTAATATCATTAATTCACTAAGCTGCAGGACTGTTTTTTTCTTTTTTCACATCATGTCTCCTGCCTGGATGTGTTATTATCGCGCTCTGAAGCACAGAGGACTGTCAGAGGTAAGCTCTTTTCAACTGATTTTACGACGTGGTCTCATTTCCGGACTCAAATGTAGCTGATATTTCAGTTAAAATACATAAGTAAAAATATTTATCCGAGTATAGTACTACCCCCCAACTTTATGGATGATTTTATGGATTTAATTTTATGTATTATACTTGAATAAATACGGTAGCTCATACCCTCATCACTTGTACTAGACTTGTTTCCCAACCTTTATTTTCAGAGCCCACATTCCTGCATGGTTAAATGTTTTCTGCCCTAAAATATCTTGTTTGATTGAATCAACGACCTCCTCAGATTGTCATAARGTTCTGCAGAAGTCTGTTGATGATTCTTTCATTACAATCAGGCATTTCAAATGAAAGAAACGTCTAAAACATGCAGGAGTGGTTCAAGCACGAGGACCAGGAATGGGGACTTAACCAGACTACTGTAAAGTTATTCTGGCTGAGTGTCCAAAACACTTGAAGTGAAGTCTTAGAGCTTATTCATAACTCTTACAGGTTCTTCTAAAGCTGGGGAGACAACGTTCAGTCTTTGAAAAGTCTTAGAGAACACACCAACAGACTGGTTTCATTAGAATTTTGTATGATAAATGAAAGACTGGGATCACACACTTTACATGATGACAGACATTTGTTTGTCAAACCAACAGAAGCCAACTGAAGTTCTCAAAGTTTTGTGAGGGTGACAGGTTATAGTGTGAACAATGGTCGGCTCATTGCTCCTGCTGTCTGCACAGTTATCTAGCTCTTCTGACACTACTGTTTTTAATCCCACCCTGTCTTTTTCATTGATTGTTGGTAGTGTGTTTACAGTTGGGTCAGTAATCAATTCACACTACTTATCTGTGTCCAGATTTGGCTCCAAAACTTCTAACATGTTTGATTGACTGTGACTGACTCGTACAACTGTGAATCAGGGTAAAACTTGCCAAAAAACTCTCAGGGTGTGTCGTCAGCTTCAGAGAGGCCTTATTTCTCCTGTTTAACCCTCCTCTTCAGAATACAATTAAAAAGCCCCCTCATTCTATTGACCTTTGCACCCACGTGACCAAGTCACGTGGGAACGCCATGTTGGACGGCAGAAGCCACGGAGCGGTGTACTGAATTGAATGGCAGCGAATGTGTTTTGAAGTTATTTTTTTCTTTTTGCTGTGGTTTCTACTTGTTCAAGTTTAGATAATTTATCTGTGGAAGTCGCACACCTAGTTGGGGCTCACAGACAGCGTTAT